AGTAGTTTTTGCTTTTGTTAGTGATGTAAGACAATTAATCTTTTGGCTGTGTTGATATGCAACTCTTTTTTCTTTTGGATGATATGGTAGAATTTTCCTTTTGCATATTTCTTATGGTTTTTCTGCATGGCTGATTGTATTCGAGTTTCTTTTTAAGCTTCACGAGTCTTTGAGTTTTAGAATATAGTGAGGATAAATTCTAACTTAGGAGAGAACTTTGGTTCAATGTTGGGAGCGAGGTTCCTTACTAAAGAAGGTCGATGAGTATCCGTAAAGGCGGGGATCCTTACCATCAGAGATCCTACAAGATAAAGATCTTGGATCTTCCAGTTGAAGTTTCTCCTTAGGATAATCCTGTTTGGAAAATAGATAACATGTCAATGTTATATTTTGGGGAGGATCCCTACTTGCGATATAATTCATTGGGTAGGTAACATGAAGATGTTACAATCTAATGGGATCTTCTGGGGAACATTCCCAACATGTGACAGCATGAAGCTGGTATAGGTCTTGTGTAATTTCTGGGGCAAAATCCCAATCTTTGATAACATGAAAATGTTATAAGCCTCAAGTAGTTACTGGGGTAAAATCCTAATAACATGAAAATGTTATAATCCTTAAGTAATCACTGGGGTATGATCCTGATTTATGGATAACATGAAAATGTTATAAACCATAAGGATCTCAACTTGTGTTCAAAGATAAGAGGGTTGCCAAGCCACTGAATCGTGAACTGATCCCCTTATCTGTATCCCACAGTTAGATATCATGTGTCCAAGCGAGGTGTATAAACCTTAGTTCGTGTGAAAGAGGTAATTAACTCTTTAAACCTTAGAGGGGACTAAGTACCCTTAGGCGTAGGAGAGATGATCAGTCTCTAGCTTGTGTACATGATAGTTTAGGGATTATATCGTTAAATATAATGGAGTTTACCAAGTATTGGGATCTTTATGTGTTAAGATCCTTATGCTTCGGAGTGTTCAAATTTGAGGATCCGGTTGTTTCGGGATCTCCGATTGTAAGGATCCCGATGTTTCAGGATCTTCACTATTGAGGATCTTTAGCCGTATGTTGTTCTGCATAGAAAACGTTAGCTAAGGGTGGGCGTTAGTCTAGCTAACGCCCCTCCGATGCTTAAGTTAGTAATGTGTTCGAGGAGAAAATCAGTAATAATAAAAGTTTTAAGGTAAAGGACATGTGTACCTTGGTTTTGTTGTGGATCATTTGATCCTACTTACATGTAGTAAGCTTTAAGGTGTATGTCATTCTAGGATCTTGGCAGAATGTCTCCTTCGAATGTTGCTAGCTAGTATGCTCCTTTTCCTGCTTCAGCATCTACAAGATGTGGTCCTTCCCATTTGGGAGCCAATTTTCCTGCAATAGGATCCTTGGTGTTTCGGAATGTTTTCCTTAATACCAAGTCTCCTATTTGGAACCTCCTAACCCTTATATTCATAATGTAAGCCTTGGTGATTCTTTGTTGGTGAGCAGCAATGCGTATTTTGGCAAGATCCCTAAGCTCGTCAATAGTGTCAAGATCCTGTGCTAGGATCCTGTCAATATTCTCTTGGTCTTGCATCAAGTATCTTTCCGTTGGGATCACTACTTCCGTAGGGATTACTGCTTCTGTCCCAAACACCAAGGAATAGGGGGTCTGACCTGTGGCCACTTTGGAAGTGGTTCTATCTACCCATAAAACGAAAGGAATTTCTTCTGCCCATCTTCCTTTCTTTTTGTCCAGCCTTTTCTTCAAATTGTAGACTATGATTTTGTTGCTGGACTCTGCTTGACCATTAGCTTGGGGGTGAACATGAGTGGACATTATCATTTTTATCCCCCAGCTTGTGCAAAAGTCTCTTGTTCTTTTGCTAATAAATTGGGATCCATTGTCGCATATGATCTCAGCCGGGATCCTGAACCTGGTCAAGATATTACGTTTAATGAACGATACTACCTCTTTGTCTCTTACCTGGACGAAAGCTTCAGCTTCAATCCATTTGGAGAAGTAATCAGTCATCACCAACATGAAGACTTTTCCTCCTGGGGCTACTGGTAATTTTCCTACAATATCCATTCCCCATTTCATGAATGGCCATGGGGAGATAATAGGATGCAGAGGTTTTGCCGGTTGGTACAGGATGTTGTTGTGTTTTCCTCTCTGGGAACTTGGGTTAGGCTAAAGTTTTTGAAATCAGAAGCTAATTTTTTGAGGATCTCTAGGTATAATGCTAATTTTTCACCTTTCACTGCATAAGATCCATTGTAGTGATTGGTTAGTAATAAAGAATCAAAAAATACCTGAAGATCCTTGATTTGAAGATCCTTAGCTAATTGTAGTCCCATGATGAGTGCTTCGTATTCTTCTTCGTAGTTAGTAGTGTTGAATTCACAACTAACTGCCTGGGGTATGATGTCCCCCTGTGGCGACTTTAGTATGATCCCAAGGCCTGTTCCTTTCTGATTTGAAGCTTCATCTGTGAACAACATCTATCTTCCAAGGTGTTCATCTTCTAGGAGTCGTTTGGCTTCCATGTCTACTTCCTTTTGTAGATCATCGCTAAATTCAGCTACAAAGTCTGCTAATGCTTGTGATTTTATGGCGAATCTTGGTTCGTATCTGATGTCAAATGTGCTTAACTTCACCGACCATTTTTCCATCATTCCTTACATTTCTGGTCTTCTCATGACATTCTTGATAGGATAGTTAATGTTTACATGTATAGTGTGTGTTTCAAAGTAGTGTATTAATTTGGTAGAAGCAGTTACTAAGGCAAGAATTAATTTTTCGAGATGAGAGTACCTGGTTTCAGGATCCATGAGACTTTTACTTACATAATAGATAGGATCTTGCTCCTCGTTAAGATCATTGACCAAAACAGCACTTACCGCTTTTCAGGATACTAAGAGGTAGAGAATAAGTGGTTTTCCATCTATAGGTTTCACTAGTAGTGGAGCAGAGCTTAGATATGTTTTGAGTTCCTGGAAGGCTTTCTCGTGTTCCTCCTTCCACTCAAATTTCTTATTCTTTTTCAAGATATCCCAAAAGGGCTTGCACCTTTCTGAGGATCTTGAAATGAACCTGTTGAGTGCTGCTACTCTTCTGGTTAGCCTCTGGATGTCCGTTGTTGAAGACGGGGATCTTAGTTCCATGGTTGCTTTTATTTATTCTGGGATTGCTTCTATCCCTCTTTTGGTTACCATGTATCCAAGGAACTTGCCTGACTTCATTCCAAAGTGATATTTGAGTGGGTTTAGATTCATATTGTATTCGTACAGGATGTCAAATGCTTCCTTGAGGTCTCTAAGGTGATCTTCGACTTTCATCGACTTTACTACTATATCGTCAATATAAACTTCCATGGTGTTCCCAGTTTGTCTTTGAACATTCGATTCACTAATCTTTGATATGTCACACTTGCATTTTTAAGACCAAAAGGCATTGCAGTGTAACAATATATACCTGTTGGTGTTATGAATGCAGTATCTTCTTAGTCTGATGGTTCCATTTGGATTTGTTGGAATCCTGCTGAAGCATCCATGAAGGTCATGAGTTCATGGCCAGCCGTCGCATCTAATCATAGAGTCAATATGTGGTAGAGGGAAAGGATCCTTAGGACAAGCTTTGTTAGATCCGTGTAATCTACACACACTCTCCATTTGCCATTTTTCTTTTGTACAACAACCACATTAGCTAGCCATCTTGGGAACTTTACTTCCCTGATCATCCCTGTTTTGAGGAGTTTCTCTACTTCCTCTTGGATGATTTGATTCCTTTCGGGTGCAAACTTCCTTCTCTTTTGGTTTATTGGTCTGAAAGAAGGATCAATATTAAGTTTATAAGTAATGATATTTTTGTCTATATCAGTCATATCTTCATGTTTCCATGAGAATATCTTGCTTCTAGTTTTTAAGAAATTCAGTAGATCCTGCTCGATCTGCTCAGGCATTAAGGATCCTATGAGGACTTTGGCTTCATGATTCTTGATGCATAGGGGAACTTACTTTACGTCTTGTTCCTTTGTCTCTAGAACATGTCGTTCCCCCTGCCTTAATTGCTATGCTTGTTGGGGTTTGGTCGTAGATTTCATAGAGGTCTTGTAGCATTCTTTCGATTCTTATTGATCTCCCATGATCTTCACTGTCCTCCAAGGAGTGGGCATCTTCACACACTGATGGTATGTTGATGGAACCACTTTCATCTCGTGGATCCATGGTCTACCTAGTATCACATTATAAGAAGACAGGGTGTCAATAACACATAAATTTTTTATGGAGTTTACCCCTTCGATGTATATTGGTAGCTTTATTTCTCCAACTGTGTGTTTTGTTTCCCCGTTAAATCCTATGAGGACTGAGGATCTTCTGACTATCTCGGATTCTGGGATGTTCATTCTTTTCAGCGCGTCTAGGAGTATGATATTGACCGAGGATCCTCCGTCAACGAGGATTCTTTTGACGAAATGGTTGGCCATGTACAGTGTTATCACGATTCCGTCATGGAGAGGATCATGAATTCCTTCACTGTCAGTCTCGTCAAACGTAATTTCTTTTTCATTGCTAACCATGGTATTCCACTACTAGATAAACCGCCTTTTACGACACGCAATGCGTGTCGTAAAACGCTCAGAAGACGCGCAAATGCGTGTCAAGGAAGACCCTGTCATAACGAGAGACGACACGCTTTTGTGCGTCGTCTATTTACGACGCGCATAGATGACACGCAATGCGTACCAAGGAAGCCCCTATCATAAAGGAAGATGACACACATTTGCGTGTCGTAACCTTATGACGCGCATTTACGACACACATTGCGCGTCCTAATTTTAAAATTTATAATTTTTTTTTTAAAAAATATATATTTTTTATAGTTTTACTAATTTTCAAATTAAATGACAATTAATATGTCATAACACAACATAAAATACATGATATAACAAAAAAAATGCATTTCATACAATAACAATCCAAGTAAAAGTTAGCATTAAAGTTACAACACAATATCAACCTAGCTCATCAGATGCAACAAAAAAAACCTCTTCACTATCAAATGTAACAAAACCAAAGCCTCTTGATCGACTAGTGACATGATCTAGCATTATTTGATGTTCTACGATCTCACCATAAGACAAGAAATATTCCCTCATCTCATCTGCAAATCAAAGTTACAACACAATATCGACACAATATTCCCCTGCATCCATTTATCTCACTTATATTATTCCATTTCAAAATAAGTGATTAATAAAAAATTTACAATAATATACAAAAAGAAAAATGTGAATATTGGTTATTATATTTAAATCTTCCATACTTTGAAATATTTTAATTGTGTTGATGACAATGCACCTGTTGTTTGTTGTGTGAGAGAAACATTAGTTGTATTGTATTTCAAACCACCAGTTTGCATGAAATAATTAAAAATAATGACACACCTGCAAAAAGAATGAAATTTGTCAATTAATTTGTAATTTTTAACTTACTTTGTTTCTAATAACATTAGTAAGGGTACAATTCCATCTACTTTGAGTTTATTACAACTTTCAGCTCTTAATTGCTCAAGACTTGTCTCATACAGATAAATTTTAGGATTAAGAGGTCTTACTTCACGGCCAAGGTTGCCAACATAAACGGTTGTGTACTGTGGATTATTCTCAAGGGCATCACTATCACTTTGCTCTTTAGTATCCTCTGCAAAACAAAACAAAAAATATATATAAAAAATGAAAACTTTTTGAATCTATATATGTATGTATGTATAGAGAGATGAAACATGTATTCACGAACAACTATAATAGACAGAGAAGCAAGCATACAACATAACATCAGTAACCTCAGGGCTAAGATCACCAACAAATATGTTATAATGACCTGAAAAGGAAGAAAGTAATAATATCATGAGGAAAGAAGGTAGAAAATAATATGGGTATATAAATTATTTCCAAAAAGGGTATTAAGTCCTATACCTGATGTGTCCTCCCTTTGTCCAGTGACATATGCCCAATTAACTTTGATAGGTTGTCCAAACCTACAAAAATTATATGATAAGAGCAATGTTTTGAGGTGAAATTGCAGTGCAGAATATACATCTATGAACACACACCACTTACAAATGCCTTTCATTTAGAGACACTATTGTAAGTGCAGCAAATCTTCGATCAAAATTGTGAATGAATCCATATGATGACTGCAGAAATGAAAACATTTATGTAAAGATTATTCACAATTGCTTGAAAAAATAGCAAGAAAGTAGGGAAATAGGTACTTTGTCTTTTCTTATGAGTTTGCAGCTTTCAACAGGACTAGTGCTTGCAAAAACCTCTTGGAGAAGTGGTTCAGTCACTTGTGTATGGATATTTCCCACATACCTGCATTTTTATTAAAAGTAAAGAGACTAGAAGTGGGATTTTTAATTTTTTTTATAAACACAGAGCTTTCATGATGCCCACACATGGAAATGAAAAGGAAAATAATTCTCACACACTGTGGCATGTGTTTGGATCAAACCCAGCAGGTAAATTTCAACTAGGTATTGGTTCAATCTGCAAAATGAAAAGGTGAAAAATGGAAACAAAACACAACAGTAAATGTCATTAAGAGGATTCAAAATTTGATTTTTATAGCAAACAGACAAAAAGAACTGTTATTAACTCAAAATAGAATGGAACTAATAAAGGAAACAATAGAACAAGAATCAAAATCCAAACTCCCAAAAAAGATGAAGTCACAAAGCTAGCGAAACCAATTTATGAAATTTTCCAGCCTTGATCACATGTCAATCGGAGTTGAGGGCTTTGAGAACTGGAATCAGACCATATTTGAGCTGGTTGACCATATTTCTTCTGACATTTGTGTGCATAATACTCGAAATTCAGAAACCCTAGATGTATAAACCACGCTTCGTGAACCCTATAGGAACAGATAAGGAGCTCATAATCCATGTGTGTTTGTGAAGGAAGGGGGGGGGGGGGGGGAGAACGAACTAGGGTTAGAATCGAAGGAAAGGAAATGTATACATAATATAATAAATCGGGCCACTCCGTTGGAATTGAAGTACAGTTCCGACTGATTCCAGGGCCACCCACTCCGGCGATGCTAACGAGAGAAAATCTAGGAATAAAAGAAGGTGAATCGTTGTTTGTAAACAACATACTCCATTTGCATACGTATGTGAAGGAGAGCAGAGGTTACCTGAAAACGATACTTAAGGCGATCAAGAAGTTAGGGCCGACGCTGCTAACGGTGGCGGAGAAAGACACGAACCATAACGGGCCGTTTTTTCTCGGGCGATTTCTTGAATCGTTACATTATTATTCGGCGATATTCGATTCATTAGAAGCAAGAATGGAGCGAAACAGTATGGAGAGGATGAAGATTGAGAGGAATCACTTTGCGGAGGCTTGTCAGCCAAGAAATCGCCCTTTCCTTTTCTTCTTGGCCCGGTTTATTACATTCCATATACAAGATAGTGGTGGTCTGTACCGTGGAGGGGGGGGAGAGAGAGAGAGAGAGAGAGAGAGAGAGAGAGAGAGAGAGAGAGAGAGAGAGAGAGAGAGAGAGAGAGAGAGAGAGAGAGAGAGAGATGGTGGTGAGTCTGATCGAGGTGAGCGTTCCTGTGGAAGGAGGATACACAACAGGTGGGGTTTTAATTTTTTCGATTTCATTTCCCCCTGCTATTAAAAAACAAAAACGCACGCTCATAGACTAAAATTATAAAGCGATAGGGTAACACGACACGCTTTTTAGGATAGGTACCCTTCGTGTTTTTTTTATTTTGTTGGACACTAACTTTAGGGAGCACACAAATGCGTGTCTTCTATCTTTCAAATTTTGCAAAACTGTCATTATTTTTTAGGGCACGCACAAATGCGTGTCCTCTATCCGCGCGTGTCATTGTTTGCGCGTCATTAAAGGGCTGTTTTCTAGTAGTGTTCTTTCGTGGCCTATCCTCCTTTTCTGTTTTGGAGTCCTTGGCGTGTCTTTTAGCCTGAGAATAAGAGGTACCAAAGATGTTATAATGTTAATTTTCTTAGCATCAGAGGGTGGAGATCCTGGTTTCTCCGGGATCCTGCGATCATCTTGGCTGTTCTCCTTGGATTTTTCTCTTTTTCTCCCGAGGATATCCTTGAGGTGTCCTTTGCTAAGGAGGTAGCTGATTTCTTTTCGTAAAGCTATGCAGTCCTCCGTCATGTGGTCACAATCTTCATGGTAAGCACACCATTTGGACTTGTCTTTCCAAGCGGTTGAATTGCTGTTTCTCTTCGGCCATCTTGCTTTATCTCCAAGATCCTACATGGCATGAATTACACCTGAAATATCCACAAAAAAGCAATAGTCAGTGATTTTAGGAAGCTCTTATTCTTCTCCTCCATCTTCAAGGGCATTAACCCTGTGATGATCTGGTTTGGAGTAGGGCTTCGATTTGTAGGATCTTTGAGTCGAAGATTCAACCTTCCTGTTGGGGTTCTCATATTGATCCGAAGGGTTGCTTCTCTTCTGGATCTGTCTATCCTCCTCAAGCCTTATGAACCTCAATTCCTGGCACCTGACTTCATCCAATCTTTTGCATGGGGTCATCACAAGGTCTTCGTAGAAGGTTGAATCCTTTCTTAATCCTATTTTAAAATCTTCCACAACGGTGGCCATCTCAATGTTGGGGATGCTCAGAACTTCCCTACCAAATCTGTTAACAAAGTCCCTAAGTTTTTCCTTAGGATCCTAAACCACCCGGTAGAGATCACTAGTGATCTTCTTGAAGGTTCTGCTGCAAGAAAATTGGTTACTAAAGATATTGACTAAGTGTGCGAATGAAGTAATAGAGTATGGGGGAACGTTTAGTAGCCATTTGAGCGCTGATCCAGTAAGAGTCGAACCAAATCCTTTGCATAGGCAAGCTTCCTTCCAGTTCCCTGAGATGGGAATAATCTCCATCCTTTCTCTATATTGGGCTATATGGTCTTCAGGATCTGTAGTCCCATTGTATAGCTTCTTGCTGGGAGTTTGGAAGCGTTTAGGGACTTCGATATCGGCTTTCGCATGAACAAATCTCGAGATCCTGTGGCTTTTAGGGGATGCTTCTGGTATTGGTTGGACCACTCTGGGTACACTGGAGATCATTTATCTTAATTGTTGAAGTTCCCTAGCCATGTTCGACTTTATTCCAACATCAAGATTAGTGTAGTTAGTATTAATAGTATTGTTGTTTAAGAAGTTACAAGAGTCAAGGTTTCTAGGAGTGTTGAAAGGCTCATTGAGATCATTGATCATGGACGCTCGGTTGTCCATAGTTGCCCCCCAGGGCGACTCCACAGTGGTAGGAATCGTGTCCTTCTGGCGATTTTCTGAGGATCCTGCATTATTGAAGTCCAGGATCCTTGGTTGCACAACTGTGGGCGTAGTTTCCTGGGATTTCTGAAATACTGCCTATATCCTCTCCACTTCTTTGAGTAGTGCTCTATTCTCCCCCGGCTTTTGGGTCACCTGTTGCGTTATTTTCCTCATCATAGCGAAATGTTCTGCAGTAGTGACTGAGGCAGTCAGATCCTGGATCCCTGAGGATCCCAAAATTCCTGGATTAGCGATTGTGGGGGTGCTTTTCTTGGAAGTGTCGGACATTTTCCTCTGAGTGGGGCGGGGGGTCCACTCGGAGGAGGTGGTAGGTTTTTGGTTGGAATGGAAGGAGCACTGGACGAAGAGAGGATCGGTTGTGTAGATATGATTTTTTCGAGGATTTTGAACACCACGGCCCCACGGTGGGCGCCAAATTGTTTAGGTCAAAAATTACACAAGTACTAATCAACCAAATTGAATGAGAGGCTGTGATGTTCAAATTGTGTAATAGCAAGTAGTAAAAGAAAAGTGACACAATAGTTTACAAGGAAAGCCCTTGATCATTGCTAGGATCTCCGGCATAAAACCTTGGGAGGTGATAATGATCACCTGCCTTGATGATTTTGTTGATATAAAGTAAAGATTACAATGAGTTCTTAGTAAGAATGAGTAGAGAATTTTGTAGAGTAAGCCCGAGTTAAAGAACAATGTGTTGTGTGCATATTACAAGTGTCAAATTATAGTCTAATCCAACCAACAAGATGTCCGATATTTTCGGGATCCTCTACGACCAGCTTCATGAACGTTATTTGACCAAGTATTTCGGGTCTTTAGCATAGTTGAGATGATTCTTCATTGAGAATTGGTCTTCCATTGACTACTTCTGCACATGTGTTAGTTATAGACAAAATATGACCGTTATAAATATTGATAAAAATAATAACGGTAATTAGTCGGGATCCTGATGTTGCTGAGGATCCTCGATATTAGAGGATCCTGAATATAGTAAGGATCCTGGTCCCAACATATATATATATATATATATATATATATATATATATGTATATATATATATATATATATATATATATATATATATATATATACAGAGAGAGAGAGAGAGAGAGTTAGGTTCATATATAAATTATAAGTATTGTGTGAATGTATGACTAATTCTACACCAATCATTTGATAAGGGTAATTATATTTAATTATGGTATAATAATTAATTCCCGCTAACTATTTCCATGTAATCATGTTTTTGTATCTTGTTGCTCTAAACCCCTAATTATTTTTCATGAACTTCTTATTCAGTCGATCCTCCATCAACAGCAAGCCATCGCTTCCGAACTTACAAATATTTTTTTACATTCCAATCTTTTATGTAGCAGTGTTGTTGGATTTCTGCCTTTCGTCTGTCTACTTTTCCAATCGCTCCAATTAATCCACTTCCGATGATTTGCACTAGTATAAAAAAGTTATTAATCAATGGCGACCATGAGAAAAATTGCTATGGGGCTTTATGGGCGTCAATATTTTCTTCCCATAAATAAGTAATTGGTTCTCTTTTCTATCGATTTTTGTTTTTCTTCACCCATCGCCATTGCCTGTGTTTCTCCGGTTTGTCTTTGTCATTTATTTAAGAATAACGCCAATCAGACATACATTGTTTCTTCAAGAATAACAAGCAAAATCTCGATGGACCTCTTCATTATTTCTATTTTTCTCATTCTCCTTCTCTTTTTAATTCACTATCTGGTAACAAATTTATGTTGCTGTAGCCCCACCCCAATTCCTTTTTTTTGGTGTAAGTTGTTATTTTTATTGGATATGCAATCATGGTTATCGAAGTTCATTTATATATCTGGTTATTTCCTTTCTCCTGAAAGTAATCTTGAAATTTGATTAATCAAATGTCGTCTTCTTTGTATGGTTAGAACTTTAGAATGATGGTCGCATGTGATGTTCGGAGGTAGCATTTTTTTTTCATTCACATATTTGTTTGGTTGTACTGATTTAGATCATCACACATTTCTTTTTGGATTAATGAAACACCATTTGACAAGTTGGTTGTGCATTGATGATATGTAAATGCATCATTAACTTGATGTTATAAAACGTATTGTTGTGCATGATTTGATGAGTAAATGGTGCAAGTCTGCCGTCTGATGAAATTCATAAATGCTTGATAAGTCATTCATCTTCTCAGGGGGAGCATTCGTTAAAACTGCAAGAGTCAATATTTCTTTCTTATTCTCAGGGGGGATCACGAGCCAAAAGCATTCATTGACGATTAGTTTCGACATCATCAGATAGAGGGAGATTGTAAGGTCACACCTTATGATTTGATGAGTCAAACACACAATACACTGATAGATCAGTGTCAGCGTCTACTACATCTACAACGCCAACGTACTAAGCTTATCAGCGTCAGCTTATAGTACAGTTATTCGATTGTAATTTTTTTGTATATTACGTAATGATATAGATAAGTATATAATAGATCACAGATCTGGTATCTTTGTGATAAGATCGGTTCTTAGTATAGATTAGACGCAATCCCTTGATTGAAGGGACTCACATGTATAGATTAGTATATATACAACATTAG